GGCACTGGAAAAGTCCCAGACCAAACTCAGCAGCAGTGGGAGCTGATGCAGGAACACAGAGATCAGGATCAGTGCCAGATGAACCAGCAGGGTCTGCTCAGGCCTTGGCCTCTGCTGGATCGAGATGGACAGAAGGGTCTGAGCTGAAAGGGCTTCAAGATGGAAGAAGGGTGAAAAGGCACAAGACCCTCGTGATCTCTCGGTTTTTATACCGAGTATGACGTGTGTGGGATGCAATACCTCGTTGTTCCATTTTGGGTCCGCTTCCCTCCCCGTAGGCGCAGACACGGCACCCAGGATGAGACAACTGACCTTGAGCATATCTTCTAGCAGCACTGTTTGGGAAAAAACACGCTGCCAGTTTTCAGCAAGTTCAGTCACTTAAAAGACACTGAGCTAAAAAGTAAAAACACTAAATAGAAAATTAGTTGTGTTTAGCTCAAACCAGGACAATACCTTACTATTACTACTTACTCTTCTTTCGGTATGGTTCCACAGATCTCATTTATTCACAGCTTTGAAGACAGTTCGATTATGTGCATGGTTGTGTGTTTGCAAAACATTTCCTTTGCTGTACAAGGCAAACGAGTCTTGCATCAGTCCCACAGAGGTGCCTGTCCTTTGAGGCCGAGAGAATTAACTTCTGCTTTTCACCACAGTTCTTAGATATCAATGGGAAAGTGGTGTGAAATAGATTTTTTACAAGTAAGAAATTTTGCTAAAAGTACCATTTCTTTAATGCGTAACCGCTTTGAGCAGCGGGTGTAGATAGTGTAGTTCAGTTTCTAAGGGCTTGCTCTTACATCCCAGGGAATTTTGGCATCCTAGCCCTTGTGCTCAGTGCGTTTCAAAGTGTAACCGAGTGGTGTATCTGAATGGACGGAGCGCAAGGAATGTACAGGAATTGTTTGTGTATTTCAGGCTTATTTGGAAAGTGAAAGAAATACTTAAAAGGCAGCTCTTTACCTAAGTGCCTCTGATGGGTAAATAAATGTGTGATGATTTATGAGTTACTGCCCAAAGTTGCAGAGAACTACAGGATAAAATCAGCGTAATGGTAGGAGGTGATCTGGTGAAAGGATGACATAAAATACCATGTTCAGACCTGTGCTGTGACCGTTTCAGAGATACTCACACAACTTCTTATAGTACTTAGCCTGCAGTTTTCTTGGATAACGAGAAAAAAATGAACAATTTTTAGATGTTAAGGCCAGGACAAAAGTGTAGGAAGTGAGGTTTATTATTATTATTATTCCAGAAGTAATATTTTTTTCAAGTAAAAAAAAAAATACAGTGAACTACTGAATAAAAATGAGGGGAGCTTAGGAAAAAACAACAAACCCTTAGGTAGGCTGGATGTTAGTAGTTATTTTTAATTTCTTTGATTCCTTTTCTGTTCTTAGGTCCTTTGCTGTTTCCCATGACATAATTGTCTAGAGAAATATTTTCTTTTTCTGTCTCCTATAATACCTCTTGTCCTGTCCTTGCTGTAACAGAGCTGGTAAAACTGTCCTCTCGCTTATCTTACGAGCCACTTGAATCGCTTTGGAGCTGTCTGCATAGACCTCCCTGCAGGCCAGAGGCTTCATGCGGACTTAGGACTGCAAGTGCAGCAATACCAGGTGTCCAAAACCAGAAACGTAACAACCTCCGAAGTTTTACCTTTTGAGCACTGGGATTTTTTTGATACTTTCAGGAAATTATACATATTGTGTATAAATAACCCCGTATGCATTCTGCAGTCATGGGTTTAGAATTTATTTTTTTGTGGGGAGGAAATCAGGGGGTTTTTGAGGTTAAGACTTTAAATGTTTTCATCGTTTTAGTGGAGATAACATTTGCATTTAAACTTTTGCTGGGATAAGCCTATTTAAAGGGCTAGTTACTTCCACAGTTGTTCTCAAACACTGCCTGAACTTTATTTTAGTGGAGATAACATTTGCATTTAAACTTTGGCTGAGATAAGCCTATTTGAAGGGCTAGTTACTTCCATAGTTATTCTCAAACACTGCCTGAACTTTACTGTTAGAGCTGCAGTGCAGCTCATGTGTGTTTTCTTCTTGCGTTGTGCACAGATGCTTATATTTCTACTCTTTTCTTTGATGATTTAGTAATGCACTAGAAATAAAATAATTGGTCTTGCTGTTGAACAGTTTTCAAAGCCAGGAAGATACTCTGTGTGGTTTCCTTAATAGAGTCATAGTAAAGTTACTTTTTTTGTTTTCTGTTTTTCTAATATAATAGAAATCAAAGGCAGAAGAGAAGACCAACTTTGGTATTTGAAAATATCAAAACTAGCATTGGCTTTTGCAATTATCCGCTCCAAACCACCGGGGAAGAGTTGCAAAGAATACACTGAGCACCTTGCCAAAACTGTGTCCGAACAAGATTTTGGATGGAAATCGAAAGTTGAAGTGCTGGAAGCTGAGGTTCTTCGATTACGTCAGGAACTTCTTTTGAACAAGATCTGTCCGAGACTCTACTTGGAAAATGGTAAGTTTCAGAAATAACTTCAAACTATGTTGCAGTAGCAAGGAAACAAACAGCTTTCATGTTGCCTGCACCATTTCTTGTACCAAGATCTGAGAGTCTTCAGGGTACAGCTTTCTGTTTTTCCCAAAGCTCTGAAGTAGGAGAACACTTAATTCGTTTGTAATGGGATTGAGCTTGAGGATTTGATGCTTACTCAGGACTTAGGTTTTTAACCTTCAGAATCAATCTGTACCTTGTGGAATAATTCCAGGCAAAATTGTCAATACAAAGTGTTACTCTATAATCTCAGAGATGTTGGTTTGTGAAAATATTGATGTACCCTATTTACATTTGGAACATGCCTTAAAGACATATTGCAATTTTTTTTGCCACTTTAAAGACGCTTAAAATGAGAATTTAAGCCTAATATGTTGAAAGCATGAATCCTCAATGTGTCTAATGGGAAGGCTGGGCAGGCAAAGGGGACTGTATGTCCACTATTTCTGTTAATGCATTTGGACTGTCGATACTGTGACTGTTTATTATGATACATTATAAAATATTGTAGGATTCAAGAAAGCTTTTAGTTAAATAATTTTTTTTTTAAATTAAAATGAGCTGAAAAGTTGCTATTTCTCTGACTTGTGCATGTGAAGTGAGTTGTTCTCACTCCAAGAGATAAATGACACAGGATGAGCTTGGAAATCATAGAATCATATAATACCAGATTGGAATGGACCACAAGGATCATCCAGTCCAACCTCTACTCAGGCAGTGGAGGATGTCTCCAGGCTCTAGGGAGATACTTCCCCTGGGAGATGGAGGTCAGAAAGCTTTGGACTGAATGAAGGAGACAGTTCACTGTTGAAGGGATCTCTGAAACCAAAATGTATAACTAGTTGCTTTATGACTTGAGATTTTTAGGAGGTTCCCATATAGAACACTTGATGAGGCTTTACTGCAGTGCTTTTGTACTGAAACGGTAGCTTCTTTGTTCCCTCGTGACAAGATTGCTGGACTCTACTTTTGTTTGAGAGGGGGGATGTATTGGACTTTAGCTAGAGGCTCTAATGTTGTGGGTATTTTTTTATAATAGACCTTTCTCTCTGGAGAAGTCAGTTACTGATTATTCATACTTAGTTACTGTTTGTGTGTCTGTTCTCTGCAACCTGTTCCAAACATAGTTTATTTAAAAGTAACTTTCAAACTGCTGTTTGCAGCAGGTGTCAGGAGGGGTTTATTGACATCTAATGTCAATAGGATATTCTAATTGTGGGCTGAGCAGAACGTATCAAATGCTAGAGACAAAATCAATTCATCTGCAACTTCTTACTCCAAGTTGTAACTTTTAAAATATTCTTTTCCCCAGGCTGTTGACCTGAGCAATACTGATACCTCACTTGCTAAAGTAAGCTCTCTTAGTTGTGAGATAGGCAGGGAAAAGCAAGTCTCCCTGGTGAATAACACCTCTTCCGAAGGATGTTAATTTTCCTTGCCCTAGTCACACTGAAGTTTGTTCACAGACCTAAATGTGATAATCCTTGTTTAATTTTAGATGTCTACAGTTGCACTACATTTTCTGTGCTTTCTTCATTGTCTGTACAGAGAAATAGCATGCTGACTCTGCAGATTATGGTGCACTTGACCCATTGCAGTATTCACTAATATGGATATGGTGAGTTGTCCACAAAAGATGTCCCTCTCCATTCTGCTGGCAATAGGCTTAGAAGAAGTTCTGTGATTCCCAAAACACTTCAGTAAGCAGCTCTTCATAGACAGTTCTTTTTATTTTTTACTGTCTCAGCAGCCTGTTCAAACATACCTTGGGTCAGCTCACCAAATCTCATTTTTCAGTGAAGCCAAACTGTAATTTCAGTCTGTGTTTAGCTAACAGAATTATAAATGGTAGAGATGAGCATGTGGTATCTATAATCCTTCTATATTCCTTCACTTTCTCTAGGGTACAAAACCAGCACCCTTCTAATTTGAAGGATTAGTGTGTAGCTGCTTTTCCCTTTGAAAGTTTGTTTATGTTTATGATCACAGTGGTGGATAAACCTGTTAGATAGAAAACATTCTGACATTTGAAATATCTATAGGAGTTCACATTAGCCCTACCTGCATCACACACTGTCCAAGAGGAGTAGACCATGTTCTTCCCCTTTAGTTTCTCTTAACCACTTGGTATAAGAGAGCAAAAATGTGTGGAAAATCTCAACTGTATCATAATTTCTATTTCTTCATACAGGTTTTCCTTAGTCTTGAAACAACTCTTCTGAGTTCTTGTAGTTTAACTTTGGGACAAAGTTTTTTTTTTGTGTTACTTCTTTCTTTTGACTTGTTTGACTGTTCCTCCCTCTTGAAGCTTGGTGTGACATGTGAACTCTTCTGATAATGGATGTGAGCCATGTGTTATTTTGAAAATATCAAACAGATATAACTACAGAGTGAGGATTCACAGTTACACTGGAGACAAATGCTCAGTCTCTTGCTTTTGTGTAAAGCAAGATCATTACTGATACCTGACAGAGTATCTGTGCACTCTTCTCATGATCAAGCTGATATATATTAATAGTAGAACAACTGTGGCTGACATTTAAAGGGAGGTGGTTGTAGAAGCAAAGCTCACATGAAATAGAGGCCGCTCTACCACTGCCATCTTCTGCTCTGGGGAGAAAAAAAATCCTCTCTTTTACATTGTGCCAGTTTTGAGATTTTTCAAGCCCATGGAGATCAGAAGCTAAAGGATGGCTACTGCTGAGGTAGGAAGGCACAAGGAACTTGAATCTAAGCTGAGAGGAAAGGTGGTACCAGTAGTGTTCTGCCGTGTTCACCTGAAGGCTGCTATAGATCCATCAAGCCATTGCTTTGGTTTGTTGTTGATGGTATATTGCCCAAGTTTACTGCCTAAAATCACACCATAGAAATTCTCTTTAGGGCCAAGGATAAGTGGACTTGTTCTTGGGGCCAGGTAGTTTACAGGTATCATAGATCCCTCTCCTCTGCCACTGGTTTATCCAGCCTCATTTTTGGAGTTACCTTGCTTAAGAAGATGCAACCTCTTAAAGAATTCAAACCCTCAGCTTTTCTTTGTCGTCCTGCGTTCTGCTTAACAACTCTATAGAAGCAATGATACCAGGGTTTCACAAAACCCACCACTGAAAAATCTGATGCAGTAGGGATCAGATGCTGCATTTGTGTCTGCTGCTGCCTGTTGAGAGCTGAAGAGTTCGAGTCCTTCAGCCAAGGTTCACTTTGCAGCTGGATCTTCCCTGCTCTGCATTCTGAGTGTGAGAGCTTTCCTCTCCCACCTGCTGTTTGTAATAATAATGGTAGTCTTTGGAAGGCTTCAGGAATTATTAGATACTGCCCTTGGAGGTTTTTTCCCCTGATGTGAGAAACCTGTGAGCTCTTTGAAGCTGTGATGCCTGTTTTTCTTCTCCACATAACATTGCACGCAGTTTGGATGCACAAGCACAGGAAGGAGAAAGAACAAAGTATCCGTTTTTAAAGATATGTTGACTAAATTATTTTGTCCCACCTGTCCTCAGAGCTCCCGAAAATGTTTGGGGTTCTTCGCTGAGGGGGAGTAGCAGGCTTTGCTACAGGTAAACTGGTAGTATGGACTGTTACAGTTTAATAAGCTGTTTATAAAATTGCTGTGGTGTATATTCACTGACTGTGCTGTGTCTGGAAGTTCCTTATGTGAATTAATGTGCAGCTGTCTTTCTGAATACAAGGACACTGGTGGTGTTTTTGGCTGTACGTCAGCCATCCGAGGAGGAGGAGGAGAAGGAAATCTTTTGGTAATTGTCTGTTCATTATTTTTCACCTTGCCAATATTGTCCTTACAACTATGCCCATGGGTAGAAAAAACCCCAAATTTCATATTAATCAAAGTTTCTTATCTTTCTTTGATTCCTGTTGATATTTCACAGAAAGAAGGAGAGAAACTCCGTGGTGTTATTCTAAGAATAAGAATATAAAATATTTGAGCATTCTGTTGTCAGTGTGCGTTGGAGCTACGTGAAAAGTTGAAGGGTCTTACAAAGCATTGATGAATTGATCGATTTAGGGACTGAAGCACCTGTCCTCAAAGACAAATTCCTTGGCTGTTATCAGCTCATCAAACCAACGATCGTATCGTTTTGTGGCAGCCTCTGTTACAGAGATCTGAAAAGCCTGCAGCTGTTACTCCAGCCTGAGAAGGCATAAGTGCAATACTCTGCCCTTTTTAGGAATGGCAGTTTAGAGGATAGATGTTTATTGCCTTGGTTGCTTTAGGCTGATGCTCTTGAAGGGTTCCAAATCAGTTATCCCGGGTATATTTTTAGCAAAACTTGTATGGAGTATGTGTTTTCTCTTCCTTCGCTTCACCTTTGATCTTGGTTCATGTTGTTCCCTTCTTATGCAGTGGATAGGAATTTACTGAACTGCTTGCTCCTCTAAGTAAAAAAACCAAACAAACAGAAAAACACCAAACAAATCCCCCATTTTTTAGAATTAGTTTCTTCTTTTTTTTATAGATACTTCTGGTAGAACTTCATCTGCTATGCCCTGAAGCCCCCTCCTGTGTTCTTAGCCTCCACAGTAGCATATGGCAGCCCTACCATTGTGTGTCTGTGTTCAGGGAAATGCTGAACTCTGAATCAGAAAGTCATTAACGTGAATGAATGATTTTTAACTGCGTCCTGAGGCTGTGTTTGACTTTTCAGGGTGCTGTTCCCTAAATTCTGCTTCCTGTGTCAAGACATTTGAAGCCACTTGTGCCTCTTAAGGGAACAAGACAAAAATAACTTTGTATCTCCTGCTTCACTCCTTAACTTGGTGTCTTTCTTGAGGCATTTAGTTGTACGTGTGGAAAAAGGGAGCAATTATCTGCTGAAGTAAAACCTATTATAGATGATACACAGCTCCAGTTTACCAGCTGCCTTGTTTGGGACCACAGAATTCAGCCACCTCTTCCCTTTCCCCTTCCTTGTAAGTCATGGCTCTGGTGTTTCTTGCTCAGCAGGGAGAGG